TTCCTTCCTTCCTTCCTTCCTTCCTTCCTTCCTTCCTTCCTTCCTTCCTTCCTTCCTTTCTTTCTTTTTTCTTTCTTACTCTTTCTTCTTTCTTTCTTTCTTTCTTTCTTTCTTTCTTTCTTTCTCTCTCTCTCTCTCTCTCTCTCTCTCTCTCTTTCTTTCTTTCTTTCTTTCTTTCTTTCTTTCTTTTTTTCTTTAAATCTCAGTCCCCCCTCTCTCCTCTCTTCCCACTCCCCCTACCCCCCATCTTCTCCTCAGAGAGGGTGAGACTGCCCCTGGGAAGTCATTAAAGTCTGTCTGTCCCGTCATCTCCTTTGATGGGTTTCTTCACCCAGGAAAGCTTGTTATGGAGACTGGGTGAAATTCCAGAGAGCTAGCAAAGGCTGTCAAGTCCAGAAGAGCAATGCATCTCTTACTTTTTCTCACCAACATGAAGCTTTTGGTGTCTGTGGCTTCCTCGTTGGTCACCGTGCAATTGTATAAAACGTTGAGATTCGTTTCAGCAACATTCCGAATTCTCAATTTTTTAAAGGCATGCAGTTTGCCCTCAGAAGTCCTGTAAGGTAAGCAAATAGTTGATCAACAGGCTTTGTTCATGACCTGTAGATCTACTCAGGAGAATTTCTAAGTCTAAAATATTTAAAGGAAGCATCAGCTATGTCTTACACTTCTGGTGTGAATTAAAATTAGCCTCCCCACTCTTCCAAGGAGCAGCAGAAATTACAGGATCTCTCTCTCTCTCTCTCTCTTTCTCTTCTCTCTCTCTCTCTCTCTGCTGTTTCTCCCTCCTAACTACTTGGACTTCAGCCTACAATGTCACCTCCTCCAACTATGACCGTTCATTTTTGTATTCTGAATCTATCATTGCTATAAATGAATTCTTGGGCAATGAATTCTTCATTGGACTCAATGAAGAAAAGTTTGCTTAGCTCACAGTCAAAAGGCATAACTGAGGCTTTGGCAGGGCCCCTGAGCTACATCATATCATGGCAGCAGCATCTATGTATTTATGGATGGTCTCTCTCCCATGCTATAAAGCCATCAATTCTGATGCAATCACAGGAACTCCCCTGCTGTGGTGATTTAAATAAGAACAGCCCTCATGCATGCAAAATAGGCTCATAGATTTGAATAGTTAGTGGGTCACCAGGGAGTGGCACTATTTGAAAGGAGGTGTGGCCTTGTGGAAGGAAGCCTGTTATTGGGGGTGGGCTTTTAGGTTTCAAAGAGAGTTCATTCCAAACCCAGAGTTTCTCTCTTCCTGCCCCCTGCAGATCTTGATGGAGAACTCTCAGCTACTTTTCCAGCACCTGTCTCCCTGTATGTCCCTGTATGTCTCCCTGTATGTCCCTGTATGTCTCCCTGTATGCCCCCATGCTCCCTGCCATGAGGATAATGGACTAAACCTTTGAGATTGTAAGCAAGCCTCAAATAAATATTTTTTTTAATATGTAAGAGTTGCCATGACCATGGTGTCTCTTCACAGCAAGAGAACACTGACCAAGACAACTATCTAATGCAGTTTAACTTTGTTTTGAAGGATCCACCCTCTTAATGACACATTTGGTTTAATCTTCCATTCTCAATACATTTGGAAGACACTGGGGGTCAGACTCCTGTAGAAGTTTAGGATATGACGTATCACATCTGAACTACATCAACTGCGCGTTGCTCGGTGGTTCAGAGAATGGACTGTTCTTGCATAAGGCCTGAATTTGATTATGGATGCCATTTTTGCTTTGGTGACAATAAGAGCAAGGCACTTGACATAGTTTTCAAACTTCAAGAAACTATGGTTCCATTTGATTGCTTTTTTAGAAGGAGCTTGGTGACTTAGAGCCTGACCAAGTAGTACCTTGGTAAAGTGGTGTTAAAATTCCTCACCAGCATTGCTATGAGCCTTCACTTTCAAGAGATCCGTACAACAAAAGTATGCATGATCTGTCACCGTGGTAATAATAATAATAAACAAATTATAATTACATTTAAGGCTTAAACATTCCATCAGCCACCCAGGAACCCAGCCTCTTTTCTGTTGTGTGCACATGTGAATTTCTATAGCATGCACACGGCACCTCTTACATGTCACATACGCATACCAAGTTGTCATGTTCATGTCTTCATGCACATTAGGGTTTGACCTGTCTTCTTTCCTGACGCTCCAATAAAACAGGTCATTTTTATTCAGTAAAGCAGTGCAGTTAAGTTCCACCTCTTCTCCTAGGTAGAAATTGACAGTCTCAGTTTTGAATTTAGAAACTCGGTAGAAGTTTCACATACAACCAGGGTGTGATAATTGTATGTAGAATCATACCACATCCAGAAAAAAAAAGTGGAAGAGATGCTTCATTTTAAAAAAATACAATAAAGGGGAAGAATTATATAGCAATGACTAGTCATCGCCAAGTAATGAACTGACTTCTGTTTAAATATCCACTTTTAAATCAATTATTAAAATTTAGGGGGTCAGAGCAATTTTTTCAATCATCAATTTGGTAGACAGTGTCAAGCCAGTGTCTCTCTTGAACTACTCGGAAAACAAAATAGGTTTATCAAATGAAGCAATTACAATAAATAAATAAATAAATAAATAAATAAATAAGAAGGCGTTGGAGCGCAGGGGAAAGAATGAGAGAGAAACGGTGAAATTGAAAATGTGGTTAGGAAAGGTCCCGTGCAGGTAAGTAACCACGAGCGGCCGTCTCCTCTAGAAGGAGCATCTTGGAGTTGAAATGAGCAGGCGTCTCATGAATCAGAGAGTCCAATCCACCGGGTCTGCGGGCAGCTGCACAGCCCACGGAAATCTCAGTAAGAGAGTGGAGAGCATGCGGCTGCAGAACTTGGTGATGTCTCCCACGGGCTCACGGGCCATAGGAGAGCAAGCGGTGCTCTACCAGGATGTCTTTAACTTTCTCCATGCACTGTTGCCGTACAGATAAGCCATTTTTGCAGCGACTTAAGCATATGGAACTAGTAAACAGACAGTAAATTAGACATTGACTGAATATAAGATATGAGGAAATGTGTTTTAGCGATTCTTTGTTAAACACATAATTTTATCACTTGTTATGGACAAAAGCAAATCTGCAAGCCAATGAGTGGTGTGGTTGCTAGGATTTTATGTGAGGAATTACCTACTGGCTGAATGATTGGTGATTCACAATGTGGAACATCTTCAGTGTTATTTAGACATGTTCAAATTATGATTTCATAACCATCAATACTGAGACCACTTTACATAAATAGGTTAAAAAATGGCACAAGTATATTTAAGGTCATTTCAGAACTTCTATCCTGATCCCAAACTAAAATTCCCCTAACAGTTTTTTTTTTTAAATAAAATTCAAGTCTGCAACTCAAAACAGCCAATTTTAAAACAAAACACTGACACAACACAGTCCAAGGGTTCAGTGATTTGATACAAAACTTAAAGGTTTTTGTTTTCTGTCATTAAACTATTGTTCTTCTACAGACCAGAAAGCTTCATAGGCACAGTAAAGCATGCACCTCCTAACTAGCACACCCAAATCTTAAACCTAGAATGAAGCAAGTCAGTCTTCTCCCATGGCAATACGTGGGAAGTAGGTATGGCCAGTGTGAAGTGTGTGTGTGTGTGTGTGTGTGTGTGTGTGTGTGCGTGTGTGTGTGTGTGTGTGTGTGTGTGTGTGTGTATGCGTGTGTGTGTGAACTGAGGCGGCAGTGAGGTGGCCCAGGACTGCTCTGGTAACTGCTCCTGGAGACATCATGCCGCCATGATGGAGACACTGGACTTAAAGTTTGCTGTCGTCATGTATTCAAAAACCTTTCACTTTTGCCAGATTTGTCATGGCCTCCACGCTCACTTATACAGTCCCCTACGTGGTCCTAACACCTTAAGAAGTTGTGTTCTAGCGGCAAACGTCTGCATCCAACATGACTGTGGTTTTCTCTCCAACCCCAGCTATTTCGATGCAAGGTGGATCAAATACAGCCCATCTGCCCACAGTCACCCCAGCTGAGCTCTGAGCAGACGGAGATAATTTTGAGATCCGAGGCCTGTGTGTCAGTTATTCAATCCATACCGTGGAGACAATATCCTTCTACCTTGGTTGGAGAAGGTATCTCAAAAGCCCCAAATCATTTAGCTCAATATCTGGTTTGGCATATGCAAATTTATTCCATTCCTTCTTTGCTTTTATTTTTGGAAGAAGTTATCTAATTGTGTATACTAATTCTTAAGTGGTTCTCAACCTGTGGATTGTAACTCCTTTGGACCATCCTACATATCAAATATTTACAGTACGATTCACAACAGAAGCAAAATTACAGTTATAAAGTAGCATTGAAAATAGTTTTATGGTTGGTGGACTCACCACAACATGAGGAATTGTATTGAAGGGTCTTGGCATTGAAAAAGTTGAGAACCAATTGTCTAGACAAATTCTAAAAGTATAGCCAGTTCTATCCATGACCAAATATTTAAGCTACAGAACAATTTTGAATCTTATCTCCAGAGTATTATCACCGAATTTTCATATTTTGAAAGGTCAAGAGAGAAAATTAAAAAAAAGAAAAAAGAAAAAAAAACCAGCCACAAATGGCATGGCAGAGACCCTAGTCTACAAACCATAGATAGGTTCACTGGCTTTTAAACAGATGTGTCATGCAACTGGTCTAAAAGTGGCAAGAGTCAAACAATGACATGTTTTTCCTCATTGTGTAATATTCTCAATAATGGCCCCACTTATAGATTCAGAAAACACACATTGTAAAACGTACCTAGATCGACTTCAACAGTGTCAAACTTTCGTCCCAAAATAGCTGGAGTGATTTTACTGTTCTCTGAAAGCAAAACAAAACAAAAACAGACATTGGAATTCCCTTGAGCTTATCTAGAACACACATCTATTGTACGTGGTCATCCCATGGAATAAAGACTCCAACACAGCACCTCTCCCTGCTCCATGATTATATTTTCTTTAGTATAAGTTACTGTAAGTCAACTGTGGTCCAAAAATGCTAAATAGAAAAAGAAAAAAACTTAGAATAACCAACTTGTCATTTTTAAATTGTATGCCACTGAAGTTTTCCATCTCACTCCATCCAAGCTAGGACCTGAATTGTCCCCTTGTTCATAGCACTCATGCATTATATACTACGAGTCCAATCATCACGACATCACGGTACTTGTGTTCCAGTAATGGTTATTTTATTTCATCATGACCACAAAGCACAAAAGTAGTGACACTGACAAGTTTGCTTCAGCATATTTTATGTTTTATTATTAATTATTGTTGTTAATATTTTATTGCTTCTAATCTATAAACTAAATTTTCCTGCAGGTATGTATGTATACAGAAACAGAGCATATATCAGGTCTGGTCCTCTCATGGGGTCAGGCACCCTCTAAGTCTTGACTTTCATCTGTGGGCAACGGCAGTCATTGCTATCTATTTACTTGTGCCATGCTTTTATTAATTGTTTTATTAATGCAGCTCAGATTACTGAAGCTTCATTTTCCTGGACTCATACGTTCACAGCGCTGTTGAAAGCCCCTTCCATCTAGTATCCTTTGAAGTCAAACATTGGCTTCTGCCCAGTGAAGTTAAAAGTCAGAGAAACATGCTCGTCCGGGGAGAGTACTGCCAGGTACTGAGAGGACCAAATGTTTAGGACATAGAAGGTGGACAGTCACTAGGAAATACCTTCCTGCTCTGTATCTCTTCCCTCTGTCTGCCTTCCTCATTCTCTCACTGATGTATTTAACAGAATATAGTAAGACAAGGAAGAGCCGTGTGAGGCACCATTCCCAGATACCAGTCCTACCCTTGAAGATGTAGAGTCTCCAGTCATAACCATGCCCTGGATGCCTTACCTGACTCTGTCTGACCCTGCTTTTCAAACCTGTAGATCCAGAACTACTGCCCTTCCTACTGATGCCTGGTTCTAACAAAAAGTATCCAAGCATCTCCTTAGCTCCCTTACTTAGGAAGAAACGTTTTGCTCAGAAATGTACACATTTATTGGGAACATAGCATGAAGATCCTTATGCCTACTGATCTCCAGAGAAACCAGGAATGTTAAGCACACAGGATTATCTTTCCAGTGGGGAAGATGAAAAACCTGTTCTCCCATCCAGAAAGTCAAGACTTAGAAATGATGAACAGCCTGGTGGTCTGTGTTATCTGTTGGGCCGGGCCATAACAAATTTTTACAACCAAGACCGGAGGTGGCTAGCAATCTAAATGATCCTGATAGTCAGAGGTTCCCCAGGCTCTCACAAACAGGACCAGAGTATGGCTAATAGCCCAAATGACCTCTGTCTGTATGAACAAGACTAGAGCAGACCAGACCCTTTGGCCCTTAAGCTAGTACTGACAGCACACCTAGAAATCATCTTCTTGGAAAAAAAATGACATGGGTTGAGTTTCAATGTAATTACACTTCCTTGTGCAATGCGGATTGCATTACACCAGGAAACTTTTCCCCAAATCATACTGGGCTGAAATACATTGGGGAGAGGAGCCTGTTATTAAACTCCCCAAAGAGGCCTGACCCAGGTTGAGGAAGACAATCTGCACCAGGTTTTCATTCTTATCTTTTCGTGAGGTTCACTTCCCTGTATGACACGTGCAGGGACCCCTGTCACACTGTGTCAACGTGCATGGCCTAGAGTATCTGATAACCAGAGAGCCCCAAAAGCCACCACTGGCTCATGGTCCGAGGAAGCCCGAGGCAGAAAGATGCTAATCATTTGTCCAAAGTCACAACATCACCGAATCTATGGGGAAGAACGAACGAGATGTTCCAACTAGAGCAAAAAGTGCTGTGTGTTGATGACGAAGCTTCTTGTCACTTCTTCAAGGAAGAAAAGGAAAAGTAGCAAAGGTGGATCAGAAAAAGAATAGGTGAGAATGCCAAAGAACTAGAAGGCACACAAATTATATATGTATATGTAGTATATCATGTATAAGTATATGCATGCAAACTGTGGTTGAGGAATTAAGACAAGTGATCACAAACAGATTGCAGGGTTTTTGGAGATGAAAAATTCAGGCATGGGATTCCTAGGTTGTAGTTTTGTCAGGCACAACCATCCTCAGCAAAGTTAAGGCATCCTAGTACTCGGATCTAGTTGGAAAATCCCCCATAAAATTCAAATGGAAATGTAGTTGCTCTGGTAACAGTGTTAATAGAGCGGCAGGTTACAGGTGGTTACATCATGAAAGTTCCTCCCTCATTAACCAGTTAATGACAATATTGCCAAAATGGGTTAGTTGTTATGGGAGTGGGTTCCTGATTAAAAGGCTAAGACCAGCCCAGGTTTTTTGCCTCACACAATCATTTACACTCCAGTTAAATGATGATGCAGCATGGAGGTCTTCTTAGGGGCATGGAGGCTGCTCAGTGGGTGGGAGTACTTAATGTGCTAAAATGAAACCTGGGTTTGAATCTCTAAAAGCATGACTGTATGTGTCTGTAACCCCACCACTCGGAGAAAGAGACAGGCAGATCTCGAAAGCTCCGTGACCAATTAGGCTACCCATATTAGTACTGTCCTTATTTGGCTAAAGATCCTGTCTCAAGGCAATGGGCATGGTGATAGAGAAAGACATCCAATGTTCTGAACCACACAGCGCATAATAAATATACACTCACAGGTGGCCCCTTGGTCTGGGATTTTCCAGAACTGAGAGCCAAATAAACTTCTATGGTTTATAATTTGCTCAGTTTGTGGCACTCTGTTCTGGCAGAAGAATATGGCCAAAGAATTTTGTAGCTGTGATTGCTTAAGGACTTGGAGAAAGGGAAGTTGTCTTGCACTATCCCAGTGAGAGTGTGCTTTTTGTTTTAAAGATGAAGTATAATATAGACAGTCTCCAGATATTGACAAATGGCAGAGAAATAGCTTCTCCCCCATACTCTCCAAAACTATACAATGCTGCTGAACCCTTGACTTCAGCCCAGTGAATGTATTCAGACAGGTGCCCTCCAGATCTCTAAGTCTAGGTGTGTTCAGGACACTAAGTCTAGGGATGTCCCACAAACACAGCACACAGGCAACAACGTAAGCATCAGGTGAAGTGCTGGAGAAAGATGTCACTAGAGCAGATGTGTTGGAGCAATCTGGTCAAACGTGTCATCCAGATAGGCTTTCTGGTTTACTGGAATGATGGTGGAGAAAGTCATAATTATGGTCATGGTCCTACCACAGATCTACAAACACCTGGAGGCGCTTTCACATAGGAAGGGGACAGACATTCTGCGAAGGTTTTGAAAGCCGATGAAGAGCAGTCAGTAAAAGCTAAAGAAGGCAAAACAGACTCTCAGGTATTGAAATCTGTACGTGGCTGTGTTGTGACTTGGTAATTTCCCTGTACGTTCCCAAGAAGGTACTGATGTAGAGTTATATTGGCTGTGCCGTTTGAAGGATATCTCCATGCGGTGTGGTTCAATTAAATTACCTCACAAGTCACTGTCACAATAGAATTCTAGGCCTTTGTGTGGCCTCTGGGCTCAGGGCAATTCATGAATGCCAAGTTCCCCCTCCAACTGGTACTCTGTGACTTGGCTTTGCCACTCAGGTGTTGCTCTCTCTATGTGTTCTGCCCCTTCGTGACACTGTCCCTCCAAGACCCACATCTGGCAACGCCTTTAACATTTGTCTTTCCTTCCACTACCCGTCACATCCTTCGGCCTCTCTGACAACCTCTCACACGGCTGCAGCGTTCGTGCTAGTGGCTCTCCAGATCGTTACAAAACTCCGTGAGCACTCTGGATTCGTCGCTGTGGCACGTTCTCTCATGTCCTCTGCCTCTCAACATTCAGTACAGCTCATTGAAGAGAGCCACCGATAAATATTTGTGACCCCAGTAAATATTTGCTAACAGCAAAAATGGAAGCCTAACAAGATTCTACAATTGACGAGAAGTCTAAACAAGAATGGGCTGACTTAAAAGGTCCACCCAGGGACTTTCATCAGCGGCTAAGAATATATGGTTTTAGTCAGTTTGATGGGAGCCCAAAATAAAGGTTTTAAACCTAAGATTTGAAGTGGGTATATATTCTGTTGGGAGATATTCAATCACACTGTGAGCCCTGAATTTGCATTTGAGTTAATTAAATAAAAATAACTTTGGGACAGGAGGATGCATTAGCAATTAGTTGACAGCAAGTCGTTATAGAGCCTTAGAGGGCATCTGGGGGGGGGGAGAGAGAGAGAGAGAGAGAGAGAGAGAGTAGTAGGTTGGGGTTTGAGATGGCATAGGTTTTTCTGGTTTGGCGAAGTGGAAGGAAGGGTCTTCACTGGATGCCAACAAGGAGAGACGGCAAGGTAATCGCTCCACAGCCTCTCTGAACTCACAGGTTTTCACCCAAGCCTTTGACTCTCGAGTTCTATTCATAATTAGAATGATAGAGATTTAGTTAAAGCTGCCTTTAAGTGGCAGCGACTTGGCTGGTGCCTGCAGGAGCAGAATTCTCACTGGTTGTCCCATGAGCAGCCCAGCCGCTCTAGAGAAGCAGGCTGGTAACTGTGGAGTTTCTGGCTGAGGTAGCATTAAATTAAAGTGCAACCACTGCGCCAAAGTTAAAACAACAGTATTCTTAACCTCAAGGTACCCTCTCCATCCCCGAGTAACTTCACAGTGAAAGAAAGCGTCTGCTTTCCTCATATGCATTCACTTCTTCCAAAAACTTTCTCTTACCTTCAGTAACAGTTATATTGAAGGTCTCGGTGATGTTGTACTGTTTCCCATTATGGTGGACAGAAAACACGCAAGAGTAATAACCCTCATCTTCAAAGTCAGCATCCTTCTTGATCTCTGGGGGTTTTATTTCCTTACAGTTCTGGGTTTTTAAAGGCAAGTTAAAACACTTCAAGTCAGTAAAGGCAGTATTCTCGTTGCAGTCCTTCACATTTCTAAATCTTATGATCTTTAAGGATAAGGGGAAACAGAACAGAAAACCAGCAACCCGCAAGTGCGTGTCCCAGCAACTCACCTCCTTCTCCTGGAGCAGCGAAGTGCCCTGCTATCATCACTGCCACTACTGAAGAGTTGTGGCATCACCACTATTGTCATTTTATCTTAATCTATTGCTCACACACAAACAAAGAGAGACAGACAGAAACAGAGACGAAATATTTGAACAACAAAAAGTCCTGCTTAGGTGAAGAATGTCCTAAGCTCTACTGCATGACACTTTGGGTCCAATTCTGTGTGGAAGGGTATGGGCCGTGGGAATGTGGACAGAATGACTCAGAAAACTGAGTAGATGTGGCCCACTCCTGATTCTTAATGTCCTGTACCAAAGGGCATAGATGGCCAAATTCATCAACGTACTTCACTCTTTCTGCTTCTCCCACAAATATCATAGAAATCAACAATAACAATAATAAAGCCACAGTCTGCAAACTAGCCCTCCGTCACCCACTGATAGGTCCTGTCAAGTGTAAGGGCTGTGAGGAAAGGAAGCTGACCGACTAACTCCGGCCGTGTGACATAGTTCCTCCACGTGCCTGACAAGGGGAACTGAATGCCCACAGACTTCGCCTCGTGCTGGCCACTGCTGGTGGCCTCCGGAGCAAGGCCCAAGCAGTTATCCAAATGTTCTTGCAAAGTACCCATGTGTACCTCATGCCAGGAAAGTGCTTCTGAATATAAGGAGAATTGTATAAACTGAAGCAAACTCTTTCTGTCATAGACAAAATGCCAGAAAGCCTTCATTTTCCATTCCAATTAGACCTTTTCTGACTAAGCTGTCTAGTACCAGTCCCCTCAGGAAAGTCATGGATTCTTCATGTAACTACTCATTTTACAGCTGTTCAGTCATAAACAGAGTCAGATCATACATCTAAATTTAGTTATCTGTACATTGGGGCTTTCTAAAACCCACTAACCAAGCCTCCCTAATTTACATGTACTGCACCGTGTGTATACTAGACAGCAAGAGAAGGCAAGTCAACCCAAGACTGAGTTATATATTTAGTAAGTATTTCAGATAAGAAGTCTCCTTGAAAACTCACACGGAAACACTGTGACAGCAACAACGACATGCATACTTCAGGGGACTCGTTAATGGCTCAGCTTCCCCAAGATCCCCCGTCCAGTTTTTTGACGGGGTCAGCAGCTCAGGTCTGCTCTTCCACAGACATGAGACATCATGTCACACGTGTGTACACATGTGAATGGAAACACCGTTTTCTACATGATAAATATGAGACAGAAGGGTGACTAGCTTCTCCACAGCAGCTTTGAAAGAAACTCTTACAGCCCGGTAAGAAAAAGGCCCACCGATGAAGCAAACAGAAAAGGTACAGGCGATCCACAAAGGAAGTCCTACTAGGCTACAATTCACACATTTCACTCACCATTCTTAAGAGAACAATAGGAAGAAATGCTGCGTTTCTGAAATGTTTGCTGTCAAATTTTTAACTTTCTCAAAGTATTGTTTCCCGTGTTGGGAAGGTGTAAGGGAGAGAGGGGGGCAGAGTTGTCTAATGTGCATCAAAAACTGATCAGTTAACCTCCCGCTGGCTCAGTAATCCTACATCTAGGGATTTTCCCGAAGGGTTAATCATATACGCACCCAAAGATTTATGCGAATATATATCATTCATTAAAGTCTGTGAATAACAGTAGGACACAGGACACTCACATATGTCTAATCACAAGGAGCTCAGGGAGTTTAAGCCGGATCCATACAAAACACATTCCCTGTTTGAAAGAAAGCTGTTCACTGGTATGGGTGAATAATCACATCGTTTTAATTAGGAAGGAAAAGACCAGTGAACAAGCAACTTTTAAGGATGGATGTTTCTCTTGGTAAAGAAACAAACACAGCTGTGGGAATAGGAGTGATTTTTCACTTCACTTTTTTTTGATTTCCTGTCTTCCTGCTTTATAAAACAAATATATGTATTCAGAAAACACATGCAATTGTCTTTCAGCATTTTGAATGGGTGTGGCAAAAGAAAATGAAAAACTCTAAACCAGCATTCCCAGAACTTTATTTCTTTTTAATAGAAGGGAAAAGAAGGAGAGGCAGAAGAGAAGAAGCCACCATCATGGCCTCAATACCTACTACAATACAGGACGGCTACTGTGCTACACACATTGCTTAAATTGGCACTTGACAATAGCCATATGGGACAGTTTCTCACACAGGCCAAGTAAGCCATGGGGAGGTAGACCACTTGTTTTTGACGAGGGCAAAGTGTTCCACTGTCTTTCTATCCTCCATGTGGATTTTTTTTCTTTCCTTTCGAGTTTTAAGTGAAAATTCTTTCAACTTGTTACCTTATACAATGAAATGTTGTTGATCAGTTCATCGTAGTTAGAATTTTTACATTTTATACCGAAAGATTTCTTGACTTCCACGTATCTGTTTTTCAAAAGTTCTTCAGAAAAGCAGCTGTGTTCATTTCTTTTGATGACAGTTAGGGTCCAATTTCGACGATCATTTCTATGAAACAGGGATTTTGTGGTTACTAGCGAGATTCTGCAACTACCTCCATTCTTCCAGTTTTACCCTAATTTCTATATGAAGAGATTTATTCACTGAGATGCAAACTTTTCTCTGCCACCCCTTGGCTCAGATCAGAGAGTTTACAACTGTCATCGGGTGAAAGATTCCACTCCAGACCAGTCTAGGAACATACACACATCATCACAACACACACAGCACATGTGCACACCACAAACATACACCACACAAACATACCAAATATACCACATACAGTCATCCATATGGCATGGATAGTAGAGGAATAAATGGTTTAAACTTTATCTTCAGTGCTGGACAGATTCAGAGACTCACAGGCCAGGAGGGAAGGGTGGCTTTAGTCAAGAGAACTGCGGACCTTAACTCCTGAACGTGTGTGCATATGTACTGTGCTGAACGTGTGTGCATATGCACTGTGTCTTCTGTTTCTCAAGGTGGTTTATTCCATGATCTTTCTCCTTACTGTTGAATAAACCGGAGTTTGGCCCGGCCTTTGCACAACTGAACAAGGGTGAACTTCATTCAGTATCTCTTTTGTCTGTGATTTCTCTTCTCAGAAATCAGCCATCTTGATAAATGGATTGTCTTTAAACAACAGTGTTTTTTTTTTAAAAAAAAAAAAAAAAGTAAAACCCTTTGCAATTGTGTGCTTATTTACACCATACTAGGGACATCTGTCCACATCCTAAAAAACAGTAAGCATGTCGCTAAACTGTCCTGGGACCTGGGAAATATATTTACACCTGGGCTTTCCCAGGTCCCCTTTACATCTACAAGGAGCTGGATGGAAGAGAATGAAGAGTTCTGTTGCTCACTGACTGCCAGATACTTTACAATGTGTGGATCCAGGAGAGACTGACCATTTCCCTCAAGTTCACGTAAGAAAGTCAAGGATTCAAACAACCAAATAACTTGTCCCGTGGTCGTGTGTGTGTGTGTGTGTGTTGGAGGAGGCTGCTTGTTCATTCCCGGCTGCCCAGACCCAAACTAATTGCACAGAAAACTGTATATCACTGCATTGCCAATAGCTTAAGCATCTTTCTAGCTAAATTTTGCATCTTAAATTAACCCATTTCTATTAATCTGTGCATCACCACGAGGTTTGTGATTTACCAGTAAAGTTCCCCAGTGTCTGTCTCCTTAGGTGGCAGCTCCATGGCGTCTCCTTGACTCTGCCTACTTTCTTTCTATATCTCTGTTCGGATTTCCCGCCTGGCTTTACTCTACTAAGCCTTGGCAGAAACAGCTTCTTTAATAATCAAGGGTAATAAAACATATTCATAGCCTACAGAGGGGAATTTCACATAGTGTGTGTGTGTGTGTGTGTGTGTGTGTGTGTGTGTGTGTTATTGTTGTTGTTGTTGCTGCTGCTGCTGCTGCTGTTGCTGCTGCTGTTGTACTGGATGGGACCAGGATATAAGTGCACATTGGGGCAGGAGTGGCTGATATAATACTACATTTTCACATTCTATGCAGCCTTGCACTTTGCCTTTTGTTGAACATAGAGAAAACCAGGCAGGGCTGGAGAGGGTAACCAACTGATCTTCAAGGGGGCTCAGGTTCCCATTGGCAGAATCTTCTTCTTAAGATTCCTCTTGGCAGTTCACACTTAATTCTCAATGCCTAACACTCGGCAGATCTTGACAGTGCCTGCCATGTGTGGGAACCCCTTAGAAATGCTGAGCCAAGCAACGCTCTGCCCTTGCTGCCAAAGAATGAGCTCAAGGATTGATATGAAGTTGGGACCAAGGGAGCCAACATCTAGGATCCCCACTTCCTTACAGCCTATGCCCATGGAACAATGTTCAATGTCACTCTGATTATAGTGGCCCCTCTGGCTGAGTGCCGTGTGGGTTTTAAAAAGAATAAAACAGCTTCAGGCTGATTGCTTAGTTGTAGAGCACTTGCTTCACATGTACACAATGTACCAACAGCAGCAAGCTACAACAAGATGAGAGAAGAAGAGAGGGAGAGAAGAGAGGCAGGAGGGAAGGAGGAACTAAAAGAGGGAGGACTGCTATTTTCTTCTCCCTGGCTCCAAGATAAGCTTTCTGTGCATCCACCTCGGGCTCCTTTCCCCATTTCTCCACCTCCTCCACAGAAGCATCTTTCTTCTGTTTGATTTTCCTTCTAAGCTGATTTTCTGCCCCCTTTAAAAAGTTTTCATTCTAAAATTCTGTGTGTGTGCAAATGTGTGTGCCTGTGCATAGGCAAGCATAGGGGTCTGCACAGCCCAGAAGAGGACATTGGTACCTGAAGCTAGAGTGACAGGAGGTTATGAGTCACCCAACATGGTGCTGTAAACCGAACTCAGGTCTTCCGCAAGAGCTGTGTATTTTTTTTAGCCACTAAGCTATTCTCTTCTCTCTCTCTCTCTCTCTCTCTCTCTCTCTCTCTCTCTCTCTTTCCCTTCCTCCCTCCCTCCCTCTCTCCAGCCTCCAGTGCTCTCAAAAACACCAGGCCATTTCCTCCACTCTGATTTCCTTCTTGAAATATGACGCAGACAAGGGGTTCTTCTTCTACCTGTACTGTATCTGAAGATGTTCAAGGTACCGACTTCCATGTGAAAGCTCACTTACAGTCAACGCCACTGGCAAAGCTGCTCCCTTGCCATCGGGTCATATTTGTCCCACCCCACCTTCCAGCATCCTTCAGGCATTGTCTTTGAACTCTTCGGAGCCTCCTTGGGTCTCTCTGCTGCTCCCTCAATCTTCCCTCATTCTGATAGTTTGCCCTTCTGTTGCTTCCTAACCCAGTCTGTCTTCTCTGCCCTCGACATTAGAAAAATCAAGAGCAAACACCTTCTGCCTCCATCTACTCCCCAGGATGACCACAGGTGCCTCTTTCCCTCAAATGACACTGTCCACTGTAGCCAGAATACTCATGTCTTTAAGTCATGTCTATACAGCATGGACAGTGAGGACACAGGTTGTTTCTCTTCTCCATTCATCTTTAACTTGCTCTAGAAAGATCCAGTTGTGATCGATTTATTATAATTATCTCTCTTAAAATGTCGTAAGAACTGCACTGCTTCAAAAAACAACAACAGTCCTTCGACTTGTTTCTGAGGCTCAGAAGTTTCTGTGTCTAATAGACAGCTATGACCTCATTTTGTGAAAACCCACAGGAGCGAGAAAGAGGCTTTGCCGCGAAATCTCACTTCTCTCTCTAAGGCTCACTGATAACGATCAGGAGTCACCCTAGAATAAAGAGAGATTTCTAAAAGAAATCTGCTACTTCTCACGGCACAGTGGGCACCGCCCAGCGAGCCTAAGTGAGTTTTCACAGGTCAGTGGCAAATCTTTATAAATAAGAGGTATGTACCTACCCATGTAGCATGTACCTCCGTGTGAAAAGTCTCACTGACGTTGGCTACTAGTTTGTGGCTGGGCGACAACTATACCTTTCCCCCCAATAACCTGCTTCTTGTTTCCCAGTAACCTCTGAAAGCTAGACTAGGATTATTTCATAAACCCTACCCTTTCTCTGAAGCCTGAGGAGGACATGTGGGAAGCTGCCCTTGTAGCTCCTTTCTCAAGTGCCAATTATTCTTGGACAGAACTTTAAAATCCACCGGAATTCCACCTTATCATTAACAAAGAACCCCTAAAAGGAAATCTCATTCATCATTCATTGAGATCACTAAGAAGATAAATGTAGGTGAATATAGAGTGACCAGCTCAATTTTTCTGCAACCATATATTTGTTTCCTGTTGAAGCAAAAACAGGGGAGGAAAGAAATGCATGGGTTATCTGAGTTTACAGATTTGGGTGGCTGAGCCAAAAGCCAAGAGTCCTAGGAAATATGCCGAAACAAAAATGGCTTACTCACCCCACTAGGGAAAAGTATGTTCCATTGTCTTCCAGCTCCACTGGCCAGAATTCCAAATAGTGACTCCACAAAGTAATTCTGGGGGAGCTTTCAGTGTTCAGCTCGACATATCCATTGGAAGCAAGGACTCGGAACCATCTTATGGCAGCTGTTTCGTTCTTGTGCACAGCTGAAGCTCGGCCACAGTGTGTCAGATAAAAAGGCTCTCCTTCTAACGCGTGCCTTTGCGGGCGGAAGATGCATTTTCCTACAGCAGATTAACCAAGGAAAGGAAGATAAAACAGGACAAAAATGATTTTCCTCACCCTTCCGGTATAAAAGTAAGATTGGTGAGAAGGCTACAAGAAATCTCAGCATCACATTCCGGTACTGGCTTCTGTCTGAAAAAAAGTCCTACCGGAGATAAAACATTTTTGGAACAAAGGTGAAGATGAAACTGATGGCTTCTCCTGGACGGAAAGCTAACTGCAAGAGCGTAACCGGCCCTTATTCAAGACAATGCACTGTAGCCACATCGTTAAAGGTATGACATTAGCCGGGCAGCGGCGGTAGCACACTCCTTTAATTGCAGCACTCGGAAGGCAGAGGCCGGTAGGTCTCTATGAGTTCGAGGCCAGCTTGGTCTACAAGAGCTCGTTCCAGAACAGGCTCCAAACACCTTTCTTTTAAGGAAAGACACAGAAGCCATCACATCACCACATTGCCCCAAAATGTCACCACTGTGGATGCTCCATGAAAAAGACAAGAAGTCTATATGTGCATCCTTCATCTATATCACGACCAGCCTGTTGTTTCTTGTGCCCAAGCCGTCTGCCTACTTACTTCTAGGAAGGTTTGGGAGGCACAGCAGAACTCTTGGGTAGCTAAGCCCCCGCAGCAAGCTTCCATGTGTAACCATAGAACCAACGGAGGCGGCCCATTCCCATTACAGGGTCTCTTTCTCCTTCCGTCTCCATTTCTCAGCTCAGATCCTGCTCTTAAAAGATTTGTCTACTTTTTTTCCCCCATCTCCACAGAATGGACCTCCATTCTCAATTGGAATTGTCGAACCCTTCTCCACCCCCTGCCCTCTTGGTCTCAAATGCTCCTAATCTTTATTTAGAAAATTGCAATCTCTTAAGTAAACGGATTATTTCCTTGCGACTACATACAAAACGCTGTGTCTGTCGTTAGGGCTTCTTGCTCAGATTGACGTTCTGGCTTTAACTTAAGGCTAGCTAACCACAGCAGGAGGTGGAAGCGGCTCAAATGTCACATCTACTTCAAGGTGCAAGAATGACAGTGAACGCCAGCTTCTTGCTGGCGGCTGTAGGATAATCTCTATTTTACATTTCAATTCCTCAACACAGTTTCTCCTTGACAGTGAAAACAAGAGTAAGCTTTTTTAACATTTTCATAACGCTCCTGCCTTACAGAGTCGGGTGTAATAAAGTGTACAGCTCATACAGTGCTTGCGCTCCTGTGGCTTTACCCTTTTGCACATCGTCAAGTCTATGATTGCTGTTCAGTTTCCTACAAGCAGCCTCTAGTGTGTTCTTTCCTCGTTATCGTGTAGTGTATATTGGGGACTTGGATTATTGTCAAAGAGTCTATTGGACATTTGAAGTTAGTTTAGGTTTCCAAGTGTTGATTCATTAAGGGGAACAAAAAGCCTACTGGGCGGTGCTGTTGTATGTCTTTAATCCCAGGAGGAGGCAGAGGCAGATGGATCTCTGTGAGTAGGAGGTCAGCCTGGTCTACAGAGCTAGTTTCAAGACAGGCCCCAAAGCCACACAGAGAAACCCTGTCTTGAAAAACAAAACAAAACAAAACGGTCTTTAGTTATATAAGTGAACAGGGGTCAAGGTGTGTGTACTGTGATCAGAGAGTTCAGTTCTTCCATGGACGAAGTCAATGGTTGAAAGGGTCTTAAGAAGGCAAATGTGAGTGGCCAGCCCCAGCAAGTCAGACGAATTCCACGTACAGAATATTGCTGCATACGACTACAATTTCGCATTCCTGAAAGGTTGTTCTCTAGAGGAACCGGGAACCAGAACCGGAGTCCCAGACCCCACAGGCTATAGAGCTGGATTTATGTCAAGACTGTATTTCACGGCTATCAGGATCCGGTGATGTTTGTCTACGGAGCCTGGCGCAGGCACACATCTTCCTGTGCTGTGCTGTTTTTCTCAACAGACCCTGACAAATCATTGACGACAGAGGGGAGGAAAATGAGCAGTCTTCAACATCTGGGCAGCGCTGCACTGTGTGGTAGGTAGCATTTCAGCACTGTGCGGGTCCCTTCACAAGCATGCCTCGGGACTGGACATGCCTTGTGAGAACTTCAAGAGCTCAACAGAGGAACTTCTCTCCAAAGAACAGGGCCTTCGAATCCTTCCCCAGGAGGAGACGAGTACCAAATGCCCACAGCTAACAAATTAAAGTTGGTGTTTGTTCTGTCCTGATGCCTGCTTTAGCTTCTAGTCCAGCCTGTCTCTTTCTTCTATTTCCTAGCACTTGGGTCATTTTTAAGATCTGAAAAGGGTTTTCTATTCGCTTTCTTTTGAATTTTCCCTTTAAAGTGAATCGATTCTTGCTATCCTTCCAGTCAAAAGAAAATGTATAAAATTGCCTAAAAACCAAAAAAAAAAAGACAATTGTTTTCTTTTCCTATTTCAAATCAAATGAAGTGGTTTTCTTCTAAAGTGAAGTTTCTATGTCCCTGTCTCTGTATAGTAAGTGTTCTGTACTCCTTTATTCGGCCCATCCCTGCCTCTCTTCCACTCTCTATTCCAGGGACACCAAGTATTTCCCCACTTTCTGAAGTAATATTTGCAGTCAGTAAAATTAAATAAATTCAGCATCTTCAGTAACCATATCAGCTATAAAGGAAAAAAAAAAAGCCTCGGTAATTTCCCTCTAGTTGCCTAGTGACATCTCTTGGTGAGTGTTTCTAAATTACTTACTTGAGGCACTTCTAACAGCGAAAACACAGAGCAGCAAAAACAATTCTCCGCGATGCATGGTTGGGTTTCCGCAGCAACTGGTATCTTTAGACAAAGAATAGCATGAATTTAAACTCAAGCCCGCAAGCAACCAATTCCACCTTAAAAAGGGAGTTTTAAAACTCTCCTGACACATAAACAAAGGCAGCCCAGCAATGTTTCATGTCTTTTAAAATTGTCACCAGTTTGTCAAACTTTTAGTGACATAGAACGAATAAATTTTAAGGCAATGGATTTTAGTTCCCATAAAACATAATTGTTTAGCATTTTTAATAGAATAGAGCCATTGACTTTTAGCTTCACATACCACATCTTGCCTTTAGGGTCAAAGTAAAAGTCTAGAGAAATCTCTGATTCTACAGACTGAAAATCCATAGCATATTGAGAAATGCAGGTCCACCAAGCAGCCTGCATGTGCGTTTGTTCATGTGTGTTTGTGTGTATGTGCATTTGTGTGTGTGTGTATGTGTGTGTGTGTGTGTGTGTGTGTGTGAGAGAGAGAGAGAGAGAGAGAGAGAGAGAGAGAGAGAAATTCCAATACTGTTCTAAGTATGTGAACTAATCATCTCATAAAGAGAAACTCCTCATTTTGACTCTCAGTTTCTGAAATTTCTCACAAGTTTCACAAGTCTAAGAATTATGTTGTCTTGTCCATCAGCAAAGCTTGCATAATGCCTGGCACACAGTAACCACTATCACTGAAGAAGAGGTGTGTGTGCCTGGGGCATGGGTCAGCACTGGCTGTCCCAGTGTGTTTCCTTTAGGGAAACTGAGGAAATAAGTCACAGGGGTCCCAGTCATGACACTGATCCCCCTTACACTGACTGTGACCCCAGGTCACTGCTTTGAACTTTGATCCTGGAACAGTTCCTCCTTGACTTTGCTAATTATGAGTGACAAGTGTAGAATGGGAGAAAGCTCTTCCTTGGTGGAGTCTGTATAAATCTAACTATTTCACAAACGACCCCACATTTCCTGCTTACTGAAAACCCTACCACCTCCACCCCACTGCCTCAAAAGACCACTGGCCACGCAGAACACGGCAGGCCATGAAGAGGTTGGTTTCTTTCAGACGCACACAAAACTGACGAGAATCCCAGTCTGATAAACCACAGGGAGTTGCAGACCTTGAACAAATGAAATAATTAGCTCAAGGACTGTTGGCTCATTGCCAGAGCACAGAAGGTGAGCCGGCTTCCTCCAGAATCATTGGGGGATCACAGTCCCTAACGCTAATGAAGATTTCTGCATGCACGACAGCCTCACAACGTAGAGCAATACCCCAACTGTCACTCACCTCCCATCCTAACTAGTCAATCACGGGAGAAGGCTTTCAGGATAAAGCTACCCAAACCATCTATCAATTTGTAAGAGAGGATGATGAATAGAATAAAAGCAAAAAAAAAAAGATATATTTGTTCGTGGAAAGTACCAACCATTCAGAGTCAGACGAGAACAATGCGCAACTCGAAACCTCCAGCCTCTCACTCCCACACTTTCTCTTACTGTCTGATAGTTCTGTCTGGGATGAAATGTGAAGTGTGATTTCTTCTCTGCCATTTCTGCCACGAGGGCTGTCGCAGACTGGCAAGAGGAACTAGGTTTTCATTTTCCTTTTCAATTCTAAGCGCTCACAAGAATTAAAATTACATAATCATTCAGTGTTCTGAGAAGCAAAGTTTTCAATGCGAGACGCGTTAAGATCTCAGTATGTAAGAGATAGATGCTGTCCACACAGTTGTGTGTTTGTGTGTGGGGGGGAGTATACAGCACTCTAATGTTTTACCATACTTCTGCATTCATAAGACAGTGTAGCTCAGATTTATGGAGCACAGATGCTGGCCCCAGCCTGGCGGGGTCTCGATCTTCATTCTTTCTGTTACCAGCTTAACAGTCATGGGCAAGTCTCATAGCCTAGCTGTACTCTGAGTCCTTTAGCCACAGAAGGGAATGACAGTTCTTCCACCCAGAACTAAAATGGTGGCTACAAGGGTTCCTATTCAAAATGTCCAAGGAATAGTAAGTGCCACCTAAATGTTGTCTATTACCATTGTTTTTTTATTCCTTATCATTTTACTGGTGTTATGATATGGTCAGACAGTCAAGGAGTCCAAGGCAAGAATGCAAGCTGCCCAGCTACATTCCTGAAACCTCCCAGCAGCTTCCATTGCCTCCCTCACAGGTGCAGGACACTTTCTACCACACCCAGGACAGCACACCTCACCTTGATTCATCAGATCTAACCAGGCTGTTTAAATGGAACAGGGCCTCTTGTTTATTTGAGTCTGTGTTTTCTTTTTGTTAGAAACAAAGCAAAAACTGTCACATAACACTAAGTTGCTTTCTTTCATGCTTAAGAACCTTTTCATAGCAAGTGATTCTTTCCCCATTCGTCAATGTTTGGAATTTTATTATCCAACTTATTTAGCTTACTTTTAATTTCTCTTTTGGTCCATTAGCATATGGAAATTTTTATATCAATGAACTTAACCAATACTCATGGTGTGTGTGTGTGTGTGTGTGTGTGTGTGTGTGTGTGTGTATGTGTGTGTGTGTATTTTCCATTACTTTTAAGTGTAGATCATGCCTTTTTTTCTCCATGGTAAAACAAATGGTTACCAATAATTTCTTTACTTTTATGGCTTCGTTATTATTTTTACATTTGACTTATTTTTAAATTTGCAAATATTAATTTTGTTTGCTATAGGAATAGAACCTAAATAAATTTTCACCTCCCAAATAACTATGAATGATTTCTCTGAGTAATCAAATAGTTCCACCCTCCCTTTGAAATTTGTTGATATCTACTTATAATGTACAGGCTCTCCCAGAGCACCTGCAGAAATTCCAGTGCAGGATGCCTGCCCAGCGACAAATGCGTGCAAGCATGCACACACCCACTTCCTCTTTGTTCTCAATTTGCTCACCTATTTACAGCAACTGATACTAACTGGCATGTCACACTTTATGTCTGTGTGATGGTTTATTTTTGGAATTGATGAATGAACCAAATCCATAAAAGAAAGACAGATGGGAGTCTTGAGCAATCATTCAATTCATTGCATACCTGAACCATCTCCAATTTTATAAAGCATGACATCTTCAAAAGTTTGTCTTGACAAACATGATGCTCAGTAAACATAACACGGAGCTTTTGAAAAGAAAAGAAAGCCTGATCTCCACACAGCTGTCAGGGCACAGCCTGGGCTCTACAGAGCTGTCAGGGCACAGCCTGGGCTCTACAGAGCTGGCAGGGGACAGCCTGGGCTTCACACAGCTGGCAGGGGACAGTCTGGGCTTCACACAGCTGGCAGGAGACAGCCTGGGCTCCCCACAGCTGGCAGGGCACAGCCTGGGCCCCACACAGCTGTCAGGAGACAACCTGGGC